CACCGCCCCGGGGGGTGTTTGTTTTTTAATTAAACTTTTTTTTAAAATTTGATTTTGGTTTGTTGGGGGTTTTTTAAGGTTGTTTTTTTTTTCTTTGGGGGGAGGGCAGCCTCCCATTGTTTGATTTTTTATTTTTTTAATATTTTAGCTGAACCCCAAAATAAAGTTGTCTTCTAAATTTTGAAGATCTACTGCCACCATGAACTCTTGAAATACCATAATTCCCACGGAAATTGTTTGCATGTCTTTGTATATATTTATCACGGACAGTAGTTTTTGGTCAACAACATTTTCAATGTTTTTTAGTTGTTGTTTTTTCATCCCAATTTCCAAAACTTGTAGGTGGTTAGCGGGTGCTCTCCTCAAACATCTATCGTCCTTACCCTATTTCTGCTTGTGTATGTTACTCTCTTGTGACACCTCTAATCCTCGGCACCTATGTGACCTTATTGTGTTGCAAGTGTTAAAAAAAAATCCAAAATTTAAGTATCGACTACTAAATACTAAGCGACGAAACTATCTAGCCTAAGTACTCACTGAGGGTGTTGTTCTTACTGGTATCGAATAGGGCCCACCACCACCGGAAGTTGGCATTGCTCAATCTGTTATTTATTCTGTTATGGTTGTAGTTCCTCTTTTCTGAAGATTGAGTCACTGTCCAGTCTCATTTTCCTGTGTTCTTGTGTTCTAGCCCTGACTGTCATTTTATACTAAATCAGGAATCTTATTAAGTCTACGTTTTGAAGTCAAGCTACCTTTAAAGAGTCAAGCTACCTTTAAAGTTACGTAGGCTTTGTAGTGTAGGGTAGGCCTACGCCTTGGATTTGGACTTGGTTGGGTTGTGTCCACTGCCACTGGTGTTTAGTTACAGAACTATCTAATCTACTCACTGAGTACTTTTTCTGAGGTGTGGTGTGAACCAAAACACTACTGACTACCTACTACCTAGACACCATGTCACGATACCAACAGTCGTCTAATCCCTTTGATGATGATGACGATAATCTTGATTCTGATTTCGTGATGGTGGGAAACAAAAAAAACCCAAATGCTCAGGCTGTCAGTTCAACGAACAGGGGGGCTTCTTCAAGCCAGCCTCAGGACAGATATCAAAAGCAGAGCCATTATTCTTCCTACGATTCTCACTACCATGAAGAGAACAGTCCTTTTGAGGATCGTCGTCAGCAGATGATGAGGAAAATTGAAAATTCCGAAAATACTCAGCTTGAAAGTACACAAAGAGCTCTTGCCAGCATTTATGACTCGGAAGCAATGGGTGTTGCTACAGCAGAGGTATGAATTTGATATAATCTAGAATAATAGATCTACAATGAGACTGGCAAATAGCAAAGTTATTTTAAATCTGATTGTTTGATAAAAGAAAGGTGCAACTAACATGGCCTAGGCCTATAATGAGCTCTTTTTTTATTCGTGGACAAGGATAGGGACATGAAATGAGTGAGTGTTCTGAACTTGTCACCTTGAACATTTTGTTTGTTTTAGGAAGCGTTTTACGGCACTTGCAACTTAATTAGGTCATGTAAGTGCCTAAGATTAGAAGTGTTATAAAAGAGAGTAACAAACAGCAAATAAGAAAGAGGAGAGAAAAAGGAGATAGATCTGTCATAGAGAAGAAGGGGCAAACCACACCAGAGCACGAGCCAACCTCCCACACCACATATCTATTTTTTTCTACTTTGACAATTCTGAACCTGTCAATATGATCCTTTTACTGTCTCAATATTGAAAAGCACTGCAGAAAGAAATTTATATTCCCACTGCCACTTTGTGACTTTGTAGCCTCGAACACGTGGAGATAAAAAGCCAAGTCTTGCAGCCCCCCCCCGGGGAGAGAAACAGCATCACCGCCAGCATGTATTGGTCGAGCCAAAATATCAATATGTATATATATATAACAAAATCTATATATATGTCTGGATACAGTGTTTTCTGGACAAGTGTAGGCCTATTTATGTATCAAAAGATTACAGCAATGCCAAGCCAGACTTAATGAACCTGGCATCTGCCTTCACTGTGGTCTAGTTACTCATTACTTTCTGCACTGTCAGAATTAAACGGCTATAAATAAATGTATAATGACCTCCATGTATATGGACCATGGAAAGGTCAAGTGGAGGAATGCTAACTTCCCTTAACTCTATATCTCCAGCAAGCTGCTCCCAGCAGCTCAGCCTCATTCCTTTTATGCCGTCTTCGACATCAAATTACTAATTACTTTTTGGCAATTGCTGAGAACAAGTCTCTTTTACCGGGAGATCATTCATTAGATGAAGAACCTTCCAAATAGGTTCACTTTTTAGATTTAATGACCGGTTTAGCGACATATGATAATTTTAGATTTCATAGTCATAGCAAAAAAGGCCCCCAGTCCAGT